AAAAAATAGGGGACCCGTTAGGGGGGGTTTTTTTTTTGTTTTTTTCGTTTTTGGGGGTCCCGGGGCGGGGGGGGGGGGGGTGGGGGGCCCCCCCCCCCCCCCCCCCCCCCTTCATGTTCGGGACTGAAATTATTATTGCGTTCCCCTCCCCGTCTCTCAAGCTTCTTCTCGGACCGCCCCCCGCCCCCCCCGGCGAATGCTGTGTTCGATCTGTTGCCCACTTGTACGCCCGCAAAATGTGCAACCCCGACACCGGGAAATGGATGATGTATATATCGTGCTTACTGGGCAATGTTTGGTGCTTACGGTTGTACGCGTGTCGTGGCTGGATCGGATGGGTTGGATCAGGCCTGAGGTCCGTGGGGGCATCGGCGGTCTCATGTTAAACTGGTGAGTTCGAGTGTGTCGTGCATCAGTCAGCATATATACCGCAAGGATGCGACCACGGTACGTTGCGGTGACCTGCGACAACATAGTATAACAACCTATGTGCGGAACTCGAACTGACTGTTAGTGAAGCATTTTTGTTGTTGTTGCTTGTAGTACGCACCGTCTGCCGACGACTCCGATGCGAGCGATGACCTTTTTTTTTTTTTTTTTCTTAATATGACACAACGAATCCATCTCTATCATTGAAAAGAGTCAGAGACAGATTAGCAATGTTCTTTGTTTCTACGTACAGCCTTGCAACGACCTCGATCCGTGCGATGACTCGTACAGGTAAACAGGCGGTATATATATATATGTATATTATATACATATTTTTGTTTTGTTTTTTGACGATCCGGGAGTGTTGGTAGAATTGATTCAGCGCACGCCTTGGGTTGTGGTCCCGGTTTAGCGGTCCATACAAGTGTCACAAAATGTTGTAACCGCTATTGAGGGCATCGCCGCTAGACCGTATTGGCATGGGCATCGCCGCTAGACCGTATTGGCAGTTATATTGCAGTTCGAGTACCGAGGTGCAGCCGTGCCACGAGATTTTGGGACCGCTATTCAGGGCATCCCGCTAAACAGGGAGCCGCTCGGGACCACGACTGCACGCGTATCGTGTTTCGTTGTTTCTTTGGTCATGCTATCGTTCGTCGTGGACAGGAGGAGGGGGGCGTGCCCTGTGGTCCCGAGGTAGCATGCATGGAGTAGAAATGTGTGGATGTCCCACGCGACTAACACCCGCACCACACACCACACCCGCCCTGTAAAACCCCGCCACAGCTTTCTTTTCCTCACGTTGCGTAGTGATGCTTTCCGTTTCTGGGTCGTGATTTTGCTTGTTCATCTTCCTGGCGTCTACCCCCCGCGCCTACAAGTCGCACCCCCCTGGTTGTCACTCGATCTTCGACACGTACATTGTACAGCACTTCGGTGCACCCCCGGAATACGTACGTAAGTATCACACATACCCCCCACGCCTACAAATGAGCGCACGTTGCCCCCCCCCCCCCCCGCACACTTTGCCGCTCGAAACTGGACACGATATGTTTGTTTAAACAGCACATCGGTGGTCCTCAAGGCTGGACAACAAAACAGGCAGGGTTGCCTGGAGAGGGCGAGACTCTGCGTGGAGGTCTTAGTGAAATATCCTGGCCTTTTGCGCTTCCCCATGGGGTGAGGGATGTATCTCATTGACCTTTTTTTTTTCTTTCTGTTTTCATGGGTCGCTTCTTTTTTTTTCTGCTTTCCTGGGTCGCTTTCTTTTTTTCGTTCTTCCACGCGTCGCTTTCCCCCCCCCCCAGACTTGATGCGCTTTCCAATGACGTGAGGCATCTCACTAAGTGTTTTTTAACTCTGTTCCACTTGTTTTTTTTGTTGACGGTCTTGCCCTAGCCGGGCACATCCCGGCCTGTTGCGCCTCCCTCCCCGTTGCGTGTGGGATCTATCTTGATCTCACAGACGTTTGTTTTTCTTTCTTATTCGTGTGTCCTCTGCCCAACGCTGCTGTAGGAGTACTCAATGAACACGATTGACAAAAAGCGAAGGATATATATGCATGTATATGCTTCCATATATATATATATGTTTTTTTTTTTGCTTTTTTTGTTTTGGGTTTAGGCAAGGAAGAACGTGTGTGTGGAAGGTATTGCGTCTCGCGGCAATCAAGAAGCCTTGCAACACTGAAGACAGAAACGAAGTACCGAAGTGATTCATGATGTGCCCTCCGCATATATATTTTTGTCAGACAATACAACGCAACAACAAGTGACCATAAACAACAATTGAATGATCATGTGTGTGAGTTGATGCCCCGACCAAAGGCTGTTCTTTTTTCTTTTTTCCAGGATTGCTTTTGTGTGGGTTAACTCCTTTGCGTTGCCTCTGTGCTTGCCCAGACCTCATGGCCCCCCTCCCTTTGGCAACGTAGGAAGGAACGATTGGCCATCGGTGATCGGTGCTGTGGGAACAATGCTCCGTCCTGTCGAGGACGCGTGGTCAATGGTCTAACAGCTGAAGCATGCAGAACATAAGAGTACGCCCCCCCCACCCTGCTTCCAATCGCGGTTTTGTGGCAGGTTGCACATTTCGCACTTGCTCATCATCATGACCGCGACATATGAAGACCGAGACCTGTACACGGCCCTCATGGTTGCCTACAACCCCATGCGGCCAGAGGGCTCTCGGCGTATCCCCCCGTTCGAGGAGTGGGAAGGGATCGGCAACCTCTGCTCTCACGTCTACTGCAGGTATGTATGTGTTGTTGTGTTGTGTTGTGTGTTGACCGTCGTGCTTTTAGATGGATGTCTGCCCCCCCCCCCTTTTCTCCTAGTGTCTACGTGCTACTGCAGCTACGTCATGTGTTCCGTCTCGCGTGCTGCTTTGCGCCCGCTTGCCAACCTGGTTGGGCATCGTGCACGGGCGTTGTTTACATGGTGTGCTTTTGTAAGCTTCCCTCTCCGCCGCCTCGTGCACATTTTTTTTTGGCAATTTATGAACTACCATGGTTGCGGCTGAATCGTTCGGGCGATAAACATCATGGCAGGCACCGCAGAAAGAAGCCTAAGAAAAGCCTTCGGTGTGTCCTTCCTTCTTCCTGTAAGGACCGGCGTTCATTTTTTTTTTTGTCTTCACTTCAAATCAGCTCACAGCTTTTGTCCCGTGTGCTCCCAAAGCCGTGGTCACGCAGAGTAAAAACCCTAACATTCGCGTTCTCGAAATTTAGCGTTTTTTTTTTTTCTCGCCGTATCGGATGATGCGGCGGGGAGAACACGCGAGATTCGCTCTCAACCCGATCGATGCCATGCGGCATACAGCTGTGTCTTTGTTCCTCGCCGTCCCGAAGGAAGAGGGAGGAGGGAGAGCGGAGCCTGCTTTCAGACTTTGGGCCCGCGCCGTCAGCCTCTTTGTTTCTTGTGTTTTCGGGCTGCTGTCTTGGACTGTTCTGATCCTCCCTTGGTTGGCCCTGTTTCTCTGTCTGTCTGTCTGTCTGTCTCTCTCTCTCTCTCTCTCTCTCTCTCTCTCTCTCTCATCTCTTTCTCTTTGTTTCTCTCCCTCTCCGTCTGTCGGTCTGTCTCTGTCTCTCTCCCCGTCTTTCTCCCTCTCCGTCTCTCTCTGTTGCAACAGGGCGATCGATACTCGTTTCGGCAAAACACCACCGCCACAGTCACAGTCACCGCCACAGGAGCAGCAACCGCAGCCACCGCAGCCACCGCGGCCACCGTGGCCGCACCAGCAACAGCACCAGCAACAGCACCAGCAACAGCATCCACTGCAGGCAACGCTCGGCCACGTGCACGGTCACAGCGAGACGAAGGTCCACGATGGGGGGTTACCAGCAGCGCCAGCAGCACCAGCCTACGCGTTGGGGGTAGTAGAAGGGGGGTTCCGCCGCAATAACGGTGGCGGAGGGGAGCCAACCGGCAGCTTCACGGCGGGAGGAGGAGGAGGAGGAGGAGGAGGAGGAGGAGGAGGAGGAGGGATGAGTGGGTCAGGCTTCAAGGAAGAGCCTCTGTCCCACGCGACCTATGGCAGCGACCGCAGGTACCTTCAGCAGGCGGCGGCGGCGGCGGCGGCGACGGCGACAGCCGCGGCAGAAGCGGAGGCGGCGGCGGCCTGGTGTCGTCGCTCTACTGCTCCTCCTACGGCCGTCACCAACTCGCCCTGCTCGGCAGACGGCGCCGCTTCTCTCGCGGCTTTCTCGGATGACCTCGACGGCGCGACCCTGTGCGCGGACATGGACCCCATCGTGACGCCCTCGATGTTGGGCATGAGGCGCCAGCAGGCGGCGTCGTTGTCCTCGCAGATGGTGCCGACGATGGGGGGGGGGTTGATGGTCGGCGGAGCCCCCGTGGCGGGAACGCCTCCACCAGCTTCGACGGTTTCGTCTTCGTGGTCGTCTTTCGCGACGGTGTTTCCGAACGCCGCCGGACCCTGGGAAGCCGGAAGCGGGCCGCCTGCGTGCAGCCGGGGAGGGTTTCCCGGTCTCGGTGAAGTTGGAGGAGGCGGCGGCGGCGGCTCCATCGACGCTCTCGACGCCGTGCTGAATGGAGATGATGACGACGATGACGACGAGGACGACGGTGGGAGCAAATTTGTTCAGCTGGATGTGCTCGCCGATTTGCCCGAGGTCAAGTCGACCTACCTACTGTCCCAGGCTTTTGAGGAGGCCTACGATGGTAAGGGTAACAGCAGCCACAACCGCGGCGGCGGCCGCGGCGGCGGCGGCGGCTGCGGCGGCAATGACCGCCGCCACGCGGAAGCAGCCTACCGAGAAACGGAGGAGGCGCTGGGGAAGGCGAGCTTCATGGAGTCCACGCACGCGATGATGCTGGGACACGGATTCCGTGCGCAAGGCGACGGTGGGGGTGGCCCCCGTGGCGCGAAACCCGGGTTCGAGTCCAGCGGTAACGGCCACGACGGATGATGATTTTTTTTACGTTGTTGATTTTTTGTTTTGTTGTCATTTCTTTTCTTTTCTTCTCTCCAATTCGTTTAATATTTTGTTCGTTTTTTTTCTTGTGGATACTGGGGGGGGGGGGGGGGGGGTGTTGGGTT